GGCAACAGCAGGAGGTGGCGGGGCGGGACTTTTGGGCTGCAGCTGCCCGCCTTTTCTGTTGCTCGCCTCGCCCCGCCTTGCGCCTACCTCTCCTCCTGCAAATGCAGTGGCGGCGGTGGCAGAAGCAGCAGTGGCGGCGGCGGGGGGAGAAGCAGCAGCGGTGGTGGCGGCGGCGGCAACAGCAGGAGGTGGCGGGGCGGGACTTTTGGGCTGCGGCTGCCCGCCTTTTCTGTTGCTCGCCTCGCCCCACCTCGCACCTGCCTCTCCTCCTCCTCCTCGCTGGATCTTTCATGAAGGTTGGGGTGGGCGTTGGGCCGCATTATGAGGCGACCTGGGCCGCATGCGGCCCATGGGCCGCGGGTTGGACAAGCCTGGTCTACATGCTCTCCCCACTATCTTTTCAATGAAAAACTCAGAGTCCTTGAATGTAACACCAAATGTATCAACAAGAAAGAAAGAAAAACAATGTATCCAAGCCTCCAGGTGGCAGCGCTACTTATTTCCCTTTCCTTTCCCTTCCCCTCTAATATTTAAGCCAGGAATAAAAAAAAGAGAGTCTAAAATTGTTAAAAAGAAGAAACAAAAAAAAAACCTTTTCCAAAAAACCTTTTAAAAATAAAAAAATAAAAGTTAAAAAGGAAAGTTAAAAAATTAAAATTAAAAATTAAAAAGTTTTTACAAAAATCCAAAGTTCCAATAAAAAGGAAAAAAAAACCCTTCGGGTTTAATTTGTGCTTAATCTCGTCGCTTGACCACTTTTATCTTCACTTTTAAATTTAACTTTTAGTTTTTTAGGGTGTTCTCTCAGGAAAATAATAAGTAGAAATTTATCTCACCAAACTGACACACTTTCTTTCCAGCTTTCTTCTGTTCCATAGCTGTCCCAGCTTTAGCAGCTTTAATGGCTGCCTCTCTGCCGCAGGAAAAAAGGGCTTCTCCTGGATCTACCAGGGACTTTGCGATGTACCTGGGATCGACAGGATGTACCCTCATCGTCTCTACGGGACGGTTTAGGTCCGGTGGGACCATCCCGCAATGGAGATATTAGCGGCGATCTTAGAGCTTCAAGATTGCACACTGTACCGCCATGACGCCAACTCCGTCCTCCTAAAATAATTTCAATTGTTAATGCTTTTATTTAGAATCTTCTTCTTCTTCTTCTTTTTCTTCAGCGTTTGTCTCGCGCTCTGGCGAGGTCCGCTAATGTCCTTGAGTACTGCTTCCACGCCTCTCTGTCTGCCACGTATGTCGGGTCTGCCTTCGCGATCTCTAGATCGGCCTTGATCGTGTCCATCCAGCATTGCTTAGGTCTACCACACGGTCTCGCTCCTCCGACAATCACCTTCATCGCAGATTTGATGATGGATTCTTCCTTGGCGCGACTCACATGGCCGAACCATCGTAGCCGGGACTGCCTCATGACCGTGGGGATGGGCATGACGTTGAACCGTCTGCGCATTTCTTCATTCCTGACGCGATCGAGTAGGGTGAGGCCTACCGACCATCGGAGCATTCGCATCTCCATTGTCTGGAGTCTGTTTTCGACTTCTTTGGTCGTCGGCCAGCACTCTGCGCCGTATATGGCCACGGGGTGCACCACAGAGTTATAGATTTTCGCCTTCAGGCGCATCGGCATCTTCTTGTCACAGAGGACGCCCGTGACGGACTTCCATTTGCCCCACGCTGCGTTGATCCTGGCTGCCACCTCAGTTTGTAGTAGGCCTTCTTTCCCAAGAGTAGTTCCCAGGTACTTGAAGGTGGAGGCGCGCGGTAGCTCCTGCCCGTTCACGTGGATGGAGCCTGTCGTTTCGTTGTCAGTGGTCAGGTATTCGGACTTCTTTAGGTTCAACCGGAGCCCGAACTGCTCGAGGCGGTCGTGCCACTGTTGGACTAGGTGCTCGAGTTCAGCCTTGCGCAGGTTGGCCAGGAACACATCATCGGCGTAGAGCAGCGTCCATGGGGCGGGCGTGTGCAGGTCGTGTGTAATTGTGTCCATCACCAGAATGAACAGCAGTGGTGAGAGAGCAGAGCCCTGGTGTACGCCGACGGTGATATTGAACTCCTCTGATATCCCAGCTGCCGCTTTTACACGGCTTTTGTGACATCTGTATAGGAGTTGGACCCATTGTACGAGTAGCTCGGGCACGCCGTGATCTCGCAGTGCGTACCAGATGAGATCGTGCGGGACTCGGTCGAAGGCCTTTTCCAAGTCCAAGAAGGCAGTGTGGAGCGGGATTTTCTTCTCTCTGTGAGCCTCCATCAGCATCCGCACACCGAAGATGGCATCGGTGGTGCCGCAGTTCTTGATGAATCCGGCCTGGTTGACGCTGATGTCGACGATGTCCCGAATGCGCTTATCGAGGACGCGTTCGAAGATCTTCATAGTGTGTGACAGTAACCTGACCGGTCTGTAGTTGGAGCAGTCCGCTGGGCTGCCCTTTCCCTTCCAGATCGGAACAGTGGTGCTGCGGTACCAGTCGTGTGGCACTATTCCCGTGGAGACGATGTTGTTGAACAGCTCGCACAGCCACAATGCCGAGCCCAGTAGTGCCTTTTTCCAGAAGTCAGCAGGGATGTCGTCTGGTCCTGTTGCCTTACCATTTTTCATGGCCTTGATGGCGTTGGTGACCTCGCTGGCGTGAATGCCTGAGACTGGGCCTTCGACGGGGTCACCTCGCGGGGTTCGTGGGTGTGGGAACTCCTCGGTGGAGATCTTCTCGAAGTATTGCCGCCACCTCTCGGCAGCGTCTCTGGGGTTGACGATCAAATTTCCCCTTTCGTCGATGATCCCATGAAACTGGTCAATGTCCAGGGTCTTCCTGTGTCTGCTTTTGGCTAGGCGGTAGATCTCATTCTCGCCTTCTCGCGTGTTCAGCTTCTCGTAGATGTCGTCGTAGTGGGAGCTTCTGGCTGTCGCTACTGCTTTCTTGGCTGCCTTTTTGGCCGCCTTGTACTCGCAGAGCTTCTTGCTGGTCTTGTCCTGAAGAAAGGCCTTGTAGAGCCGTTTCTTCAGGTGTACGGCATCTTGTACTTCCGGTGTCCAGAGCCATGTATCTCGTTCGATGCGTCTCCGTCCTGGCTTGGTACAACCAAGCTGTTGGCAGCCGGCAGTGTGAACAGTGCTCTTCAGCATGGACCACGCTTCCTGTGGCCCGTCGACCATCTGCAGGAACTGCTCCGGTTTGATGAGGGGTCCCGCCATCTTCTTCTGGTTCCACCACTTGATTCGTGGCTGGTCTGCATTCTTTTTGTCAATCTTGGTCTTGGGCTTGCTGATCCTGATCTTCGCCATCAGCGGCCTGTGCTGACTGCTCGATTCGTACGGGTACACCTTGGCGTTGAGCACGTTTTTAGCGGCTCTTCGTCGTACGATGATGTAGTCGATCTGTGTGTGGTGGTTCCCATTTCTGCTATGGTAGGTGAGGAGTTGGGGTTCTCGCCTAATGAAGCAGGTGTTCGTGATGGTCATATCATGGGAGTCAGCAAAGTCCAGGATCCTCTGGCCATTCTCATTCATATCACCTGTGCCGTGCCCACCGTGGCACTGGTGTCCGTTTTTGTCCCGCCCTACATGACCATTCAGGTCGCCAGAGATGATGATGTCGTCTTCATATGGGATCTGCCTGATGCTTTTATTTAGAATCTTTGCCTGATGCTTTTATTTAGAATCTAAATAAAATGCTTTTATTTAGAATCTTTGTTGAAATATTGTGAGAAGTTTACATATCGAAAAGTCAGGCAGACATTGTGTTGCAGGTGTAACCTGTAAGTAATTAAATAAATTGCATACAAGAGTGAGGGAAAGCAACATCAAGAGAAGGATGTTTTGGACTATCTGCAGCTCTAAAACCCTGCTGTGGTGTGCTGAGGCAGGTAAGAATTGGTGTTAGATTGTACCATTGATTTTTTAAAAAAGAAAACTGTTGTTATGGCCCTGTGAAGCAAAATTGGTTTTCCTCAGCCTGTTATACTTGGTAAACCTAAATCAGGGGCTACTCAACAGACCAAAGAGGCATTGAATTTATAATTATTTTTCTCCAGCTCCAGAATACCTTATTTTAAGGCCTAAATCTACTAATAGCACAATGTCTTCTTCTCATTCAAGGATAGGATCTAAAATATTACCTCAGAACTTTTTTCTTTTTAAAAAAATAATTATCCTTATCTTAGTTTCAGAAAACATTTGCTTTATATTATTTGATCTTCAAAGCAGATGGTGAAGTAATTCTACTATATCTGCGTTGGCAAATCCTACTTGTTTCTCTAGAGATAAATAAATAATGGACATTTCAGCATTTAGCCGGAATCAGTGCAAAGCAAGGATATGTTTAGAATCAGCTTATGCTAAAGCTTTCCTTAGTAGGCTAGCATAGAGTGAACAGTGAAAATAATCAGCATTGTGGGTTTAAAAAAAATGCAACTACATTATTGTTTACATTCCATTCCATTATCAAGCAACCCCAAAAGGGATTCCATTGTTCATTTTGCTGTTAGATATATGTGGATCATTAAGTCTATCCTAAACAAAGGTACTCAGCAGCATGCTATTTCTATGCTTGCTAATAATGTAAGAGAAAATCATTCCTTCAGCTATTACTATAGAATGTACTGTCAATTGTAAATGACCTAGAATGTATTACATAACCCATCTTTCAGATATCCTTTTGCACTTTGTTAATTTCTATAGAGAGAGGGACATAGGTGTTTTCACAAGTGCAGTGGAACAATGGGCAAATGTCCACAGTATTCCAGTATTCCATTTGGAAGCCTACTTATTTTTGGTAGGATCTGAAGCAGATTAATCTTTGAATTCTGAAAGGAAGCATGTCATTGCAAGTTATACAGTAGTGATATCCACTGGGGGATCAAAATCTGCATGATACTGACTCTCCTGTAGACACTGGTATTATATACAGACTTTACTTATTTGACCATAAATATTTCTGTCTAAATATTAGATACAATATTATAACTATAATGTCCTCATCTTCAACTTACAGCAGTATGAAAATCTTACTGTTCCAGTTCTACAACATCCAGAACTTCCTGACATGTTACTTATTCCTGTTCTTGGACCCAGGTTTGTGTGTGTGTGTGTGTGTGCGTGCGTGTGTGTTCGGGTTTGATTTCATTCTAGGGAATTTCAAGCATTCCTAGACCAATCCTGATTTTGAATATACAGATGATACATGAAAAATATGTGTTCATTTATCACTGCTTATTAACATGGAATTAATATTCATTATTAATGAATATTAACATATTCATTTAAAATCATAATTTGATATGAAGGAGATAAACCACAGCAAATCTTGAGCTTATGTGTTTGCCTTCCATGGATGATCTCTCACATTTCTTTGATAAAATCTGACAAGCAATTTCAAGCAGGCCATATTCACACCATGATTTATATACAGGAGCTTTTACATGCTTGGACAAAAAGATAAACCAAAGATAAGTTCACAATATTTGAAATATTTTTATTCTATTCAAAACAGCTATTTATCAATAATTTGGGTTTCTTTGATAATTATCTCTCTACTGGAGAATGAAAGGAAAGCATAACTAAAATCTCTTTCCCTAGAATGTCAATGTTTTAATATTTAATATTTATTATGCTGTGATGCATGATGGGTGAAAATTGCAATTACTAGCAATTTGCAGAGTTTTGGATTGTGAAGAAGTGCTTCAGAACACAAAAGAGCATTAATGCAACACTTTCCTAAAAGTCATTAAAGCACTAAAGCACCTCAGTCTTTTTTTAGGATGGCTTGTCATATAGAGATCCTGCAAACAGATTCAGCTGCTGTAATAAATTTCAGAGAGGTGCTGTGTTTGTTCTACCATGTATTCTGAAGCAGCGGTCCCCAACCATTCCCATGGACTGGCAGTGGTGGCAGCAGGAGGGGGACAGGGGATGTCTTTGCATGCTCAACCTAAATCCCATGCATGTGCAAATGAAGCTTCACACGCTTGTCTGCCGCTTCCATGACTCAGTTCTCAACAGGCCATGGGCTGGTACTGATCCACAGCTCAAAAATTGGGGGGGGGGCTGTTTTGAAGCATCTTCACTCAATAAAAACAGGAGCTCTAGTTGGTTATATATTTCAGAAATTTAGAAACACATTGTGTGTGTGAGATTAGCTATCAATAATGTGCCCTCTCTAAATGTTACTACTTTTTAAAGAACTCCTTAGTTTTATGAAAACATATTTACATTTGCTAATGTGACTTTTACATACAATTATTATAAGCTGCAACTTTAAAATTGAAAGGCTGCAAATGAAATTAAAAAGCTAGAAAGCAATTGCACGGTTGGCAAATAGGAAAAAAAATCTAATTGTGGGTGGGAGTGGGAAGTGGTCAAGTTAGTGCTTTTTAAAAAGTAATATTAATAAGCTAATTTTATTTAATATCACTGTTCCATTGCAGAAAGGATCTGCAAAGATTGCCAAATGAAGTAGTTGTTGATGCACAGTGTGGAAGTGCTGTGCTTCGTGGAGCACATGTTTATGCTCCTGGGATTATATCTGCTTCAAAATGTAAGAGTGATTGTGTATGTTTAATGAATATTTTTTATTATGGTCATTGTCTATAATTGCCAACAAAAATGAGTTAATATAAATTAAAAACAAAATAAGATAAAATATTATAATGGGGAGTGGGTTCATTAAAGTCTGCCTAATTTACAGGCAGCATAACAAAATTTAGCTATATTCAAGAAGACTGACACTGTTCTGATAATTACTGTGCATAAAAACAAGATTAGAATTTGCTAGCTGTTTTAGCTGTTTAAAGAAGTTATAAGATGGGTCCTTTAGTCCTTATGGAGGGTACAAGTAGCAGGAATGAGTTGTAGTTCCAACATCTCTTGCCCACAGGACCACAGTCTCAAATCATAGAAGATTTTTTCTGTGTTTATAATACATAAATATATATATGGTTGTTTAAGTGTTAACATGCTTTTCTTTTGTTAATACACCTTTCATCTTGTTGTCTTTTTTATATTTGTATCCTGTTGTAGCCATTTTGATAAGTTATTTTTTAATGTTAAAACTGAATTTTCAAGAATCTCCCCACCAATACCCATTTCATCATTCTTTCCATATATATTTTCTCATGCCTGTTTAATTGATTATGCATAATCAAGTGGGTTCACATAGACATGTACATTTTCCCTACATTTTCCTAATCTGTCCCTTCAAGTCTTTCAAAATATAGGAGCCATGGTGGCGCAGTGGTTAGAATGCAGCATTGCAAGCTAATTCACTGCTCATGGCCAGGAATTTGATCCTGACTGGCTCAAGGTTGACTCAGCCTTCTATCCTTCCGAGGTTGGTAAAACGAGGACCCAGATTGTTGAGGGACAATGTGCTGACGCTATGAACTTCTTAGAGAGGCTGTAAAGCACTATGGAGTGGCATGTAAGTCTTATTGCTGTTGCTATCCTTCCAAGTTTCCCAGCATGGACCACTCCAGAGATCTAAGTTTTAATGATATGGCTGAAATAGAGTAATTTGAATGTGGTCATTGGTACCTTGAGTTGGAATTCTGGATTGATTTGTCTTAGGATCCAGATTTGTTTTCTGAACTATCCATGTTATTCTTGGGAGTCTTTTCCAATAGTACAGTTGAAAAGTGTCAATATACTTTCTAATCCTGCTTCTTCAAAATCCATATGCTTATTTACAACCTGCTTATTTATAGGCAGTAGTGTGATGCATCTTGGACAGCTGGGCCCACAATTTTATTTTCAGAGCTTTATTATGATCTCATTTTCATACTCATTTTCATAGATTTAGATGCTTCAGCCAAAGTATTCTACAGTCCTTCCTTTCCCCTTCCATAATCTGCAAGCCTATAATGTTAGAATATTATTTTTTCTTGAGGATTAAACATTAGGATGTATTCCTTTAAAAGTTATGTAAAACATTGCCAAGTCTGCATCTGGAATAGACATCAGTGATGTTTTTCCAGAGCTTATCTTGACTCAAGTACATTCTTTTGGACGCATGGGGTTCAAATATGTGGAGTCACAAAATCCCCAGTGAATGTCTGCATCTTTGTTCTTGAGCCAAGGAGAACAAAAACCCAAAGATATCTTTCCCTCTCTTTTCCCCAGTCATGAAAGCTGGAAGTGTGGTTTCTGTGTACTCTGATATTGAAGGGAAATGCAAAAGAGGAGCCAAAGAGTTTTCCGGCAATAAAGTTTTCATTGGAAATGGGATTTCAGAACTGAGCCGCAATGAAATATTTACTTCTAGTGGTCCATTGAAGTAAGTCAGAAGTGTATAACCATGGTTGAAAATCTGCCCCAAATTGCTTATTTTAATAGAAAGCTACAGCTGTTTGTAAGTCATCTCACTATCCAACTAATTTGTATATATACTTTAGCCCAAATTCCTGTTGGGTTTATTTCTCCAATGTTGAGGCTTTTCAACAAAAAAATTGAATCTGAATCTTGCTTAGTCAAATAAATTATTCTCAGATATCATTATCAGAAACGGAGAAATCTCATAGGAACTAATCTTTGAAGATGAATTAAAATGATAATGTTTTCTGATACTTCTGATTTATTGGCTCTATGCTTCAGTAATACAGTAGTTCATAGTTAACCACTGAGGGTATTTTTTGCATAATAGTCTGTTGCAGCCTTGATAGTACTATAGGACATGGCTAGATTTAATAATTATTAGCATTGTTTTACTTTTTATATTATTAAAATATTTATAATTAAAAATAGTGATAGAGTGCAGATGGAGAATTTCTCTACTAGTAAACAAAAAAATATTCAATATAATAAGGCCTGAATAAAAGAGTCAGATCATAGCCACTGTAGTAGCAGTGTCATATAAGTTCATGGTAGCAAAAAATTGAAAGACAGTTCATAAAAGCTTGTGCTTTTTAATAAAATGAGTAGGAAAAAGTTCTACTAAATTCCTTCCAAAGAGACCCTATTATTACCTTTGGTTAAATAGTTAAACATTAATAAACATTTATAAAGATTATTAAACATTATATATATAGTAATTATACAGAAAATATATGTATTGAATTTATTCAGATTTTGTTTATCAAGATTTAGCTCTGGAACAATTTTATTGATTTAAAAAGCTTTGGGACATTGTTTACTTGAATCATTCTATATTTTTCAATTAAATTAATAATTGTATCAGGAATAATATATGCCTCACTGTTGATATAGTCAGATTGCAACAGCTCAGTCTGTCCCTATTTAGTGTTCTAACTATTCTTCCCAGTGTGAAGCATTTATTCATGTTCATTGCAGTTATTTACCAATTAACAGTACATTTTGATTTATATTCCCCCTCTTTTTTTTGCTGTCTTTTAAAAAAATCTTAGAATATTGAAATGTTCAATCAATATTGACTTAAAGCAATTCTGAAGACTTTCTTTGGAATGAGTGGTTAATTTTCTCTCATTTGTTTTCTTGCAGATGTTTCATTACCCAAACTAGGTAACATCATCAGTGCTAATGACTAGCACCAATAATATTATCTAGTTTGGGTAATGAAACATCTGCAAGAAAACAAGCAAGTTCAGAGAACACCAAGAACCCCTCATGTCAACCCTGAGTTACAAATATTCTCTCTCCTTTATTTATTTTCTCTCAGCTATGCTGATAATCTTTAGTCTTGGAATGTGGGACAATTCTGGGTGGTTAGAAATTATAGCATTGATTTAACCTATCTAACACAATTATTTTCATGTTTTATTGTTGACTTGGAAAGGATTTCCACTCCTGTCGTATAACAGGAATGTAAAAAGAGGTAGAAACAGTCTACAGAAAATAAGAATTAGGAATTTCCTTAGAGGACCACAAATAGATATTGATCTGGAATTGATATGGACTTTAAGTTATGATAGTTTCATCATCACCATCTTCATAACCATTATCATTTGCATCCCACTTTTATCTTAGACTGAAAGTAACTTTCCCAATCTTTTTCCTGATTCTTAATGCTATATGGATCCTGTAGGCTTTATTAGGCTCAGTGACTGATTGCAATCAGTTTTACACATTGGATTATTTAACATATAGGAAATAATTTTATGCTTTTAATGGTACAGAAGCAACATTTTTAGAAATCTCACAAGAATTTCCCTAGGGTTCTTGAATAATATGTTGATGAGAGCTTTCAATAAAATTATACAAATCAACCAACTTAACTGTAAAGCCAAATTCCTATGGAAAAACATTATTTCGATATTATTAACAGTGACAGCAATCTGTTTTGAATTAAATCACACCTAACAAACCCGTTTGAGAGAAGAAATTTTATAATAAGTTTAAAATATATGGATTCAAATGGCTTATTCTCTAATTAATGTTCCTGAAAGTAAAAACAGAATGTGTTAAATTAATAGCATGTATTATCTGATATCCCCCAATAAGTAATGTACATTTAAATAATGTCAAACTAGAAATGAGGAGCAGACAATTTATTCATGTTCCGTTGTTATGTTTTTCAGAGGTTTGGGAATAAAAATGACTGAACCAATTTACCGTAGTCCCTCATTTGACAATATGTTATCCAGTTATGTATTTTTACAGGTATGTTATATTACTATTTTCTGAACATTAAGATTTCAATACAGGTAGTCCTCAACTTACAACAGTTCATTTAGTCAGCATTCAAATGGTACTGAAAAAAGCGACTTATGACCATATTTCCCACTTATGACCATTGCAGCATTCTCATGGTCACATGATTTTAATTCGAATGCTTGACAGCTGATTCACATCTATGACGATTGCAGTGTCCTGTGGTCATATGATCCCCTTTTCCAACCTTCTGAAAAGCAGTCAATGAAGAAACCAGATTCACTTAATAACCATGTTACTAATGTAACAATTCTAGTGATTCACTTAACAAATATGGCAAGAAAAGTTGTAAAATAGGGCAAAATTCACTTAACAAATTTCTCATAGCAACATAAATTTTGTGCTTGATTGTAGTCATAAGGACTATTTATACATTCCTGGGATCAAGTATACTGGCTGGATTTGCATATACTACATAGCCATTGCTTAGATACTATAGTGATATGGCTGAAATCATGGTAAGCCAGAAACAAACGGGCCATGTAAACTAATAAAAACCTTAACTTGAAATCCAAATGTACTTATGACCAGACTGTTTAGAATTTCCTTTTTTATTCCAGTTCAAGAGTTCAGGGAAGTATATCAGCTCATCATGTTTTTTTTCCAAGGTTTGCTTGCAGAAAACATCAGGATTGGGAAGACTGCTTCTCCAATCCTTGCTGTAAAAATCAAACTTTATGGAGAAAAGTAGAATTTAATATTTAATACATTGTTGTGTTATTTGTACATTTAAAGTAACAATGAGACATTTCCCAATTTATTGTGTTTCCATTTAAAGTATTGTATTTCACAAGTCATCTTTTAACAACCCCATAATCCCTTGCGGGGTGGAGTCGGGGCAGTTGAATGGAGCTGAGTGTTTACTGGCCCTTCCTGTCGCCAATGCAGAGTTATATTCAGCAGATATATTTTCAACATGCCCAGAGAGAGAACTATCTACCTCTACCTAGGATCGAACTCACAGCCTCCTGATTGTCAGGCGAGAGTTCTACCTCTAGGCCACTGCACCATTCGTTGTATTTCACAAGTTGTCAGATGTTAATTTTTTAAAAATATTAACCATGCAATATAATCAATTTCAAGTTTACTAAGAAGTTCATTTTCAATATCAGTATAATCTACTAAAGTATTGTTGGTGTAGTGTTTGAGTCTATCAATACTTGCATCCATCAGGATTTTGTTTCATATAATGTTACTTGTTTTAAATGCTTTTAATTCAAAATGAACTGAAAGGACTCATCTTGCAAAAAATCAAGCATCATTCTTTTACTATTTCTAACAGTGCCTCTGGGTCTCATCTAGCTTCTATAGGCAGGCTTAGAAAATGAAAAAGGGGATGGGTGCATCCCAAGACTTGGTTTGGAAGTATGGCAAGGGAGGAACAGAGGATAGAGAATGGAAGAGGCTAGAAAATACAATAAGGAACAGCCTTATCAGAAAATTCTGTTATGCCTACTCATATTTGATCCACCTGCCATAAGAAAAGTGCTTGACTTTGGAACTTTCAGCCATATATTATTTGTTTATTAAACTTTTATATCACTGAACAAGCAATTTATACTGAGCAATTTACAAGTTATAATGTGACAGAGAAACACAGTTACAGTTGCCCAACAAAGAGCAATATAATACATTAAAAGCAATATAATAAGGATAGGAGCCAACCATAGGAGTCATACCAAGTATCATCAAAAACTCTGAGGAAGAGAAAATATTGATTTTAAAGAAATAGCTTCTTCTATCAAAAGAGGCTTGGTTTTTATTATTTACAGTTTTCCAGACAACCAAATAACTTCAATTTGGAAGATTGTTTATAGAATTAAAACAAACATTCATGCACAGACAGTTTAGATTCTTAGAAGAAAGGTCAGGCATACATTCAGAAAAAAATATTCCAGTATTTTTGTGATCTCTGGGTTATTAAAATATTTTTATCACTTCCTTTGTTAGAATTTGCCCTCATCAGTTGTGAGTTACGTTTTAAATCCTCAGTCAGGACAAAGAGTCTTGGATATGTGTGCTGCTCCTGGGGGCAAAACTACCCACCTTGCAACTCTAATGCATGATGAGGTGAGTCACCATACTTCCGTCCCTCCCTCCCTCCTTCCTTCCTTCCTTCCTTCCTTCCTTCCTTCCTTCCTTCCTTCCTTCCTTCCTTCCTTCCTTCCTTCCTTCCTT